TTATATATATATATATATATATATATATATATATATATATATATATATATTAGATAGAGAAAATAATATTGTTCCAATAAAAGAATTAATTTTATTAAAAAATTTCTATGGCATTACATATATTTTTTTATTATTAATCTACAGCATCAATATGTAATTATTTTATAATAAATATTGAAATAATTTATTTACACTAAATTGAATATTTAAAATTTACATTACTTTGATATATTTCTTATATTTTTGATTTAATAAAAATAAACAGATATTTAAATTTTCATATATTTTTATTTATAAATATTGCATCTAAATTAATGTACACATATAAGACTATCTGAGAGTATTCATCACATATAAGATTATCCAAGCTTGAGTTTATCTGTAGAAACCTGTTCCTATTGAATAAATAATCTATTTATGAATCAGAACTTTTAATATGAACTGATCATAAATTGTGAAATATCAATTAACCTTCAATGATTTCATATATATATCCAGTTCATCCTCACTTTCAATTTCATTTGGATCTTCAGTTGGTCCTATAGTTTCAGGTGATTCTGAATCAAAATATTTATCTTCTTCATCTTGGGTTTTTAAATCTATATTATCATATGTTTCATTATCATCAACAGTGCTAGAAAAAAATAAAATATATGCATACGTAAATAATGAAAGATTATTTCATTAGTGAAATTAAATGTTTATAAATACCTATAATCAAAATCTGTATCTTTTCCATCCAAAAAATTTTGATACATATTTGTTACAAACTCTTGTTTAAGTATTTGTTTTTCTGTTTTTGAAATACAATGAAAATTTTTTAATGTTTCATTTTTATGCTGTACTATATTTTTGAAATTAGATGTTTTACCCCAATATTTAGCTTCTTTTTCATTATTCTTTGAAACACATATATCTATTTGTTCTTCGTCTGAATCATTTTCTTCTAGTACATTTTGTTCTTCTTCCTCTTGTAATTTCTGTTTTTTCTTTAAATTATCTCTTTCAATATTTTCCATTAATAAATTTACAAAAGTAATATTTTTAGTATCTATATTATCTCTAATTTTCTTTTGTTTTTCAGTCATATATTGTCCAATTAAATGTTCATATAATAATGGATTTCTTTTCATCATTTCAGATTCACTAAAATATTCTCCTTCTTCTATTAAAGTTTTTAATGCTTGATATCTTCTATTTTTAACATCTGTTTGTCTTGTTGAATTATTAAAATATCTTTGTAATCTATTAAAATGATAAGCAACTTCATAATCCTCATCTTTACTTTTTTCAAATAATTTTAAATGTTCTTTTTTCATATAATGACCAAATTTAGACAAAAATAAACAATTACTTTTTTGAAGAATATTGCGCGCAATTGTTAATTTTTCTTCAAAAGTTAAATCTGGATCGTTTTTTTGTTGACTCTTAAAAATTGCCTTACTCTTTGCTACATAAAGCAACAGTTCTTCTTCTAAATTTTTATCTTGTTCACTTAAAACAATTAGCTGTGTGTCACTAACTTTATTTTTATCATCTTCAATCATTTTTGGAGTATAATTTTGTACATCTTTTTTTTTACTCATGTTTAACCAAATTGTTTTATTTTATAATTACAATCTTAACATAATTAAATCAATGTAATTAATTTTTTTTATTAATGTTATGTTACATATTATAATTCAGCACTTATTAATAATATATAAAATATATTTAATACAATACTTTTGTTTTTATCATTAAATTAATGAATTTCATACAATTCACACAACATGCGTCATCGGTACTGTCATCAAAAACCTAACCCATACGTTCATACGTAAACCTATCTATTTGAAATATGATATATCGAAATCTGTGACAAATATTAAGATACATTTATATATATAATATACATATATATGTATGTATGTGTACATATATTGTTCTATAAATTAAAATATATATTTATGAGTAAGTACTTATAGTATACTTATGTTATGACAAATCTGTTATATTATTGTGGGTGTCTTTTATTTATTATTTTATTTTTCTTCAAATAAATATTATATTTGGAGTAATAAATAAAAATTTCGTAAAATAATAATTATTATGTGTTAAATAATATGTTAAATAAGTGTAACATAAATTTCATACTTTTATCTTATTATGAGATAATAAAGCAAAATTTCTATCCTATTTTAAGAAGTTGCTACATATTATTTTTTTCATTCTGAGATTATTTGTAGATTTAAAACATGGATAATTGGTTAATTAATAATGATGAACAAATGTGGAAATGGAATTGGACAGAATTATGTGGGTATCAAGGAAGTATTAAACCTTTAAATACAAATACACATGATCTTGATGTTTGTTTTCAACAACTTTGTCTTCAGGTAATTCAATATCAAAAAACTTATATATATGAATATTTATTATTATGTTCTTTAAATATTTTTCAGATTCCAGTTTTAACCTGTATTGCTATAATTTCTGCTTATCACTGTGGAAAAAGAAATGTATATTCTATACGTCATTATGGTTCTAATTATTTTATAAATTTAAGAATTATAATTACAATATGCCTTGTAATTCTTCCTATACTCAGAGCATATATTATTGTTACTAATACTGTTCTTGATCCATCAAACGATAATTCTATACAAAAATATACTATGATTTCAACCAAAAAACCAGAATTATCTATGAATAGTTCAAATATATTACATCAAATTCAAGAGGAATGGAATCATACTATTGATATTGCAAAATCAATCTTTTTTCCAAAGAACAGTATTCAAAATACCACACAATCTTCTATTATTACTACTACACAAGAGTACAACCCAATATTTACTACAATCAAAAACAAAATCACATCTGCCAAACCTATTGATTATCTTGTGGCAGGTACTGAGGGATTAGCATGGGTTGTTCATCTTTGTTTTATATTAAGTTTAAAAAAAGGAAGAGATTTTAATCCACGTGGTCCTGTTTCAATTCGGGCATTAATACTTTTATTAATTGTTATTTCTGCATTGCTATTAAGAAGTCATATCAAATATAATCCTCAAAATGATGTTTTACCAAATTTATCATTGGGATTTAGTATTATTGTAGTCACTCTACTAATACTTTATGCTTTAACACTGATACCAGGTCACAATAGTTTACGAGACATGAGATCATCTCAATATAATGAAGTAAGTTATAAAATGTTTGCTACATTACAGTAGTTCATAATATTATCAGTAATTAGTGTTTTCCAGTTGCTTATCAGTGTAAGAGATTTCAAACATCTGTTACTAAATATATATTTGCTACATTACTAAATTGACTATGATATCTAAAATCATGAATTATTAAGTAAACACAGATATCATAAGTCAGTGAAAAATATGTTTATAGATAGGAGAACGGACTGCATTATTGAGTAGTCCTAATTCTTCCTATGTAAGGTTTCCTGAAGAACAAGACCCAATATATCTTGGGACTGCTATGGAGGATGCAACTGCAACCTCTAAGCTTATATTTCATTGGGTAAATTCATTAATGGAAAAGGGTGTTCATGGCTTATTAAATCATTCGGATGATTTATTTGACTTACCAGAATATATTAGCACTAATACAATTAATCAGAAGATTAATAAACATTTGCAAAATATGGTAAATATAATAAAAATGAAAACAATTTTTAAATCCATAATAATATATTTTATAATATATAATAATATATTGTAGGCTGGTGATATAACTAATACAATGGAAAATTCTGAATCAACATTAGAAACACATGTTCATATAATTACAAACAAAATAACTTTGTTTAAATTATTACATAAATGTTTTGGTTGGGAGTTTTATTCTGTTGGAATATTAAAATTTATCACTGACTCCACTTCATTTATGGGACCATTATTACTAAATAAATTAATTGGTTTTATCGAAGATAAAAATGAACCTATCATGTATGGATATCTATATGCATCATTAATATTTGTAAGTGCTTTAATAGGTAAGTTAATTAACAAAAGTAACCAATTTGTTATTTCTAATATTTGTTAGAATTTGCTAATAATCATTTTATTTTATTTAGGAGCATTTTGTAATACTCATTTCACATTTTGGATGTCTGTAGTTGGTTTAAAAATTCGTTGTACTGTTGTAACATTATTATATAGAAAAATTTTGCATTCTTCAAATGTGCAACTTAAACAACAATTTAATTTTGGTGAAATTGTTAATTTTATGACTACAGATAATGATAGGGTTGTTAACAGTTGTGCAAGTTTTCATGCATTTTGGAGCATACCATTACAGGTGATTTTTTATTATATTATATTTTAACATTAAAAAGTTATTCATATTTTTTTATGTTGTTATTTTATATTTTATATTCATGTTTTATATTTGTGTGTTTTTCAGTTAATTATAACATTGTATCTTTTGAATAAGCAAATAGGAGTTTCATTTCTAGCTGGAATTACTTTTGCAATAGTACTTATACCTATAAATAAAATAATAGCAAATCAAATTGGAAAATTTAGTACAAAATTAATGGAATGCAAAGATCAAAGGGTTAGACTTATAGGAGAAATATTACGTGGAATAACTACCATTAAATTAAATGTTTGGGAAGACCATTTTTTGCGAAATGTATCAAGTTAGTATACTTTGAAAAATACGAATATATTTTTGATTATTTATTTTTATAGATTTTCTTATATTTTTGATCAGAATTACGTGAAAATGAAATTAAATATTTGCGTGGTAGAAAATATCTTGATGCTTTATGTGTTTACTTTTGGGCAACAACACCTGTCTTAATTTCCATATTAACATTTGCTACATATGTACTTCTTGGGAATAAACTTGATGCAAAGACAGTATTTACTAGTATGGCATTATTAAATATGCTAATAGCTCCATTAAATGCATTTCCATGGGTTTTGAATGGCCTTACAGAAGCTTGGGTATCACTTAAGAGAATTCAGAGAATGTTAGATGTAAGTTAAAATTGCATTTTATGATTTTAAAAATGATTGAAAAATATTAATTCAATTTAATACAGTTACCAGATGCAGATATATCATCATATTATTCAGAATCCCCATCTGGAATAGATTTAATGCTTCAAGATGTAATATTTAGTATAAATTCAGATTCAAATATAGAACAAAATGGTCTTAATACATCTAAAGATGTTTTAAGCCCATCTGGTAGTTCAGAGTCTAAAAAAACTGTCACTTTTGAAAATAATGGTATTTTTAATCTATATGATATTAATATTTCAATTCCAAAGGTAATAATAAAAAGTGATTAGCTTTTTAACCATATTAAATGTTATAAATTATATATTTTATTTTAGGGTCACTTGATTGGTATTATGGGAGAAGTAGGTAGTGGAAAATCATTACTTCTAGATGGTATTTTAGGTGAAATAATTAAAGTTCGTGGTACAGTAGCAGTAAATGATATTGAAAAAGGTTTTGCATACGTAAAACAAAATCCATGGTTACAACGTGGTACAATTCGAGACAATATTCTTTTTGGAAAATCTTATGATTATAATAGATATAAGTAAGTATTAAGTATAATTATGTTATATATGTGTGTATGAAAAAAAATATATATATATTTTTAAACAAAATTATATATAACAGGAATATTTTAAAAGCATGTGCTCTAAGTGCTGATTTAAATTCTCTGCCTAAGAAAGACCTAACATTGATTGGAGAAGCGGGAAACACATTGAGCGGTGGTCAAAAGACAAGAATTTCTTTAGCACGTGCTGTATATGCTGACAAAGACATTTATTTATTAGATGATGTTTTGGCAACTTTAGATCCAAAAGTTGCTAGTTATATATTTAAACACGTTATTCTGGGTTTATTAAATAATAAAACAAGATTATTATGTACTCATCAGACTCGATATTTAATGTATGCAAATTTAGTAATAGAAATGTCAAAGGGCAGAATCATCAATCAGGGTAAACCAAATGAAGTTTTATCTGACTTAGAAGATTATTTATTATCATCAGATTCTATAGAGTCTGAATTAAATACTATCTCTATAAGTGATTTACCAAAAGAAATGTATCAAGCAGATAAAGATGAAAAAGATCCCTTACTTGATGAAGAATATAAAGAAAAAGGCAAAGTACGATTTGGAGTATATAATTGTTATATAAAAGCAATAGGTTACTATTTAGCAATTTCAATAATTCTTTCGATGTTCTTAATGCAAAGTTCGAAAAATGTCACGGATTTATGGCTATCTTATTGGGTTACTCATGCCAATACAACTGTAACTAATATCACAGATAGCACAAAAACTTTGCGATTAGAATATTTTTTTGATGATTATAATATGAGTACTAATTATTATCTAACGGTATATACACTTTTGGCTATCTTTAATACATTATTCACATTAATGAGAGCATTTATGTTTGCATATGGTGGAATTCAAGCAGCAATTTCCATACACAAACAACTTTTAAAGATTGTAGTGCGAGTAAATACATTTTATAAAAAATATTTGGTAACAATAAAAAATATCAAAACAAAATTTACAGGATATTTTTTTCTAGGCTAAAGCTGTATTTTTTGACATACAACCATTTGGTAGAATTCTAAACAGATTTTCATCCGATATATACACAATTGATGATAGCCTTCCCTTTATTGCTAATATATTATTTGCTCAGTTATTTGGTTTGATTGCCACAGTTATTATTATAGCCTATGGATTACCATGGATACTTTTAGTATTAGCACCATTGATACCAGTTTATCATTGGATTCAAAATCATTATAGGTATGTTGATTGAATATATATACATGTTGTCAAAATACATTATTTTAACAACGTATTTTTCAGATTAACATCAAGGGAGTTGAAACGTCTATCTAGTGCTGCACTTTCACCGTTATATGCAAATTTTAATGAAACTTTACATGGATTATCTACCATTAGAGCTTTTCGAACTGTAGCTCGTTTCAAACAAGAAAATGAACTCTTGCTAGAAATTAGTCAAAAAACACAATTTGCATCATTTGCTGTCAGTCAATGGCTTGCATTAAGATTACAACTCATTGGAGTGGCACTTTTAGCGGGAGTGAGCAATATAGCAGTTTTACAACATCAATATAACATTGCGGATCCTGGATTAATAGGTCTCGTTATTACTTATACATTATCTGTGACTGGATTATTATCTGGTGTGGTAAATGCATTTACCGAAACTGAAAGAGAAATGATCGCGGTTGAACGGGTAAAACAATATTTAGAAAATGTTCCTATAGAAACTATAAAAGGTGATAATCCACCGTACGCTTGGCCAAGTCAGGGTGTAATTGAATTCAAGGATGTTGTTTTAAAATACAGGTAATTAATTGCACGCAATTAATTGAAATCTATTATTCAGTAATCAATGTTTGAATCTTTTAGAGAGCATTTAGTGCCATCTCTAAATAATATATCATTCCTTACGAGACCTGCGGAAAAAATTGGAATCGTTGGACGTACAGGTGCAGGAAAAAGTTCTTTATTTAATTCGTTATTTAGATTAACGGAAATAAATTCTGGAAGCATATTAATCGATAATGTGAATATACAAAGTTTACAATTGAACGCGATAAGGTATTTTCTAATATAAATATTAAATTAATTATTTTAATTTAAAACATTTGCTTATCAGCAATTAGAAATAAGGAATCAAATCGTTTCAGATCTCGATTGGCTATTATACCTCAAAATCCATTTTTATTTTCGGGTACGATTCGAGAAAATCTTGATCCGTTAAATCAGTATCCAGATTTGCACATATATAAAGCATTGGAGAAATGCAAAATTCATTCGTTGGTTTATCGATTAGGAGGGCTTGGTGCTACTTTGGATGAAAATGGTAGCAATCTTAGTGCAGGTCAAAGACAATTGTTCTGCTTAGTTAGAGCAATTTTACATAATGCTAAAGTATTTATCAATTTTTTCCAATTAAACGTTCTATATTTTGCATTATTTTATTTCCAATTATTAATTTTTTCTCGTAGATCGTCTGTATCGATGAAGCAACGGCAAATGTTGATCAAGAAACAGACAAATTTATTCAAGCGACAATAAAATCTTCCTTCCAAACTGCTACAGTATTGACTATAGCACATAGAATAAGAACGATTATGTACTGTGATAGGTATGTTAGTTTACGATTTACTCAAAATAAATATGTTTAATATGTTATTATTTTCACTTAGAGTTCTTGTGATGGGAGATGGAGAAGTTCTAGAATTCGAAGAACCAAATTTACTGATTCAGAATATTGATTCCTATTTTTATCATTTGGTGAGTCAAGAATTTTCCGATAACGAGTGAAAGTCGTTTATGATTATGTATATATCTTCCGAGTAAAATATTTATTTTCTTTTTACGCGATAAACTTTTTACAAGTGTATAGTTTTATAATATATCATAGTATTAATTATTTTTACTGTATATATAATGAAACGCGTATTACGAATAAGAAATCTGCATTTTCTCTTATAAATTATAATTATTTTCATACGATCCTATGAGAACTGTATCTTAATCTATAAGAATATAAACAATGTATTAATTTAGTAAACGTTTTATGAAATTGTGATAAAATATGAAATTTATTTGATTCGTTTATTATGTTTAAGCTTTGTATTAAATCAGACTACCTCATTGTAAGTTATTGTAGTAGGTAATATACGTAAAAATTCGTCGAAATCGATATATCCTTTTTTATAACGATCTAATTCCTTGAATATCGTTTGCCACACTGTCAATGACACTTTCAAATCCACACGTTTGCTTGCAGAATAAAAATCGTCCAATACTAAATATCCTTTATCTGCAACGAAGCATTCTTAATGCCGTTTAAAAATTGGCTTTTTTTCTTAATAATCGTTACCTACAATCCTTATCCAATAAAGTGAATAATATTTCCGCATTAACGTGCGGTTCATTTCCATTACTTTTCTTGGACACGCATAATTTAAACTCCTCGAATGAGATTTTATCGGTAGATTGAAACACTTGTTTCACTTCCGTCTGAAAATCAGGATAAATCGTTTTCAGGAAAAAAAAAATCGATTACGTTTTAAAAAAATAACTTTACTTTTTCCGGACGGCTTCCAAAAACAGCTGTCATGGCTATCTTATATTCTCGTTTGTCCAAATATCCCTTTTTCTCCGTATCGGCATAGTCAAAAGCCTACAATTTTCAAAATTCTTCAAGATCCCTTGTTTCACTACACTTTTAACCTTGAACTTTGATTTTACCATTTTCGCGCGATCCTTGAAACAATTCGATAGCATCTCGTCCTTTCTGAACGTATCTCGCTAGAAGGAAACTTTCTTGAACGACTTCCATATTAAGCGATTTGACGAAAGCGGTTGAAAGGTATTGCCGGTAGTCGTGCAACACGAGCGAGAAGGACGCGTGTCGGTGTTTCACGCGAGAGAAGCTCGACCGACACGCATTATGTCGTAATTAAAGCGGTGACTCTCCTTTCAGCCGCCGGTATTTTGTAATATTCATCACGGAGCCAATTAACGCCGCCGCGGGACACGTACACGCGGCGGTGTGCGCCCGATGACATAACGCGTCTGCTATATCCGGCATTCAACCGGCATTTTCGCGGCCTCTGTCATCGTTCTCCGCCGCTGAAAACTAATGAGCTGTAACCCCGCCTGATTTTACGTTCCGTTTTTTAATTACCCGTCATTTAAACTCGTTCATTCCTTTCCTTTTTTCTTTGCCCCGCGTATGCGTACACCGCGGCGGAACGCTATTATTTTTCACTCGCGCACGAAACGTGCAAAACTGGCTGCAGAGAGACTGCACAAGCGTTTTGTATATCGCGTTAATGATGTAGCACGTTTAGCACGATCGCCTATCATACTTTTTTTTAACTGCGACATCGACGATGATTCAACAAAATTTTTACACGGAAACGGTGGAAAGGAAAAAATTTTAAGGATAAAAACGTGTTCTTACGTGTAACAGCATCGTTCAGAATTTCTACGATTGGGTTTACGAAGCGGTTTCGAGATAAATCGAATCGATACATGCTCTTTTGTCGAAAAAATCGCCGCGTTTCGATAAAGCAGCTTCCTTCTCTCGAAATCGAGCGTTCGTGGTTTTTCGAGAGCGAGGAATTAAGTAATTTTCGTAATTCTTCGTCTCGTCGCGGGATTGTGAGGGCGACACAGCCGTCACAGATGGGAATCTAGCGTTGCGGTCGCGGCCCTGTTTTTTCTCCGCCCTTTGTGGAGGAACCGCCTTTGAAACATGTGTGCTTCCGGCGCAAAAGCATAGGCAATTCTCGACTGAAAGGCCGAGTCTTACGGGCGGCGTTGTGTCATTGGCCGATACACTTCGACAGCCCGTATAAAGTGTCCGTACGCAAGGAACGTTTATATTTTCAGTCATAAAGGCTCATAAAGAATAAATTTGCGGTATGGATATATTTCAACCATAAAGCGAGAGTTTGCACCGCGTTTGTACGCGTTGCGCGGCGAATTGAATAATATTGAAACGAATTTATGGCTTCCGTACTGAGAAAAACGCCCGAATGAAAAAAAATATATCTTCTGTTCCTTTGACCTGATTTCCTGCCTAAAAACTTCTTTCCGTTTCGAACGTTCGATAAAAGGATTTCGAACGAAGCGTTACGAAACTGTCGCATTTCCTCCCTCGAGTCGAGTGGAAATTTCTCGAGAATTCGCGTAAAAAAAAAAAAAAAATAAGGATCTTCCTTAAAAAAAAAAGGAAAAAAGAATTGTAAAAGCGTGGAATATATTTGAAATTTCATCTTCGATGTGGCTCGTCTCGTGACACAGTCGGTACACGCATCAGCCCTTCGCTCTTGCGCGTCTCGGTGGGTACTCGAGGCTTGAAGCACAGTCACTAGCGTAGGGGGCTACCCTAAAAGTGCACCTATCAAGGGTTGGTTTCAACGAGCGCACAGCTCTAGACTAACCCTTGCTATCGCGGAGACTGCGCGGTTGTCCTTCGAAAACTAGTTCGGGTTTTGTTATCGAATCGTCGGAGCGTTTTTTCGAGTTTGCGGGGACGGAGAGACACGCGTGTCGTCAAATCGAACGTAAAATACACGCGCTTTGCGTACGATCTGCAAGCATGCCTTTGATACATCAATGCGTAATTTAGGATACGCGTGTCCCACCCGTCATTCGCCGAGACTGTCCGTCCAATATTTAATCAATGTAAGAATATACGTCGCCTAATAGGCGTGGAGAAAATTATCCGTGAATTAATAACACGGTAACCATGGCGTCTCGTGTTTGATCTCTACGGGTTGCCGTCAATACGGCGCACTCTCTATACGCATAGTAGCGAAGGGGCGGCCAAGCCTTCACCCTTGAAGTTACGCGGAAAATATGCCAATGTTGTTTGAATGAGGGGTCCCGGGATGGATAAAAGTGGCAGGCGACGGTGATTGCCGGCGAACATTAAGGAAGGAAATACTAGGCCGGCGAGTATCGCGCATACGCCTCCGTTGAACGATTTCTCGCGTGGAGAGGAAGAAGAGGAAGAAAAAGAAAAGGCGTGATCGCAGGACACGTTTGAAACGCCCTCTCTTCCGTCGTGGACACACGCGCGTGGTGTCAACCGACTGGCTGATTACACGGCAACGGACCATATATTTGCATTAAGCCGCAACTCACCATAACTCATTACGTCCACAATTCTCTTTCGTCAGTCGGCAACATGTTGGCCGCATAAATCACAATTTGCCCTCTACCGCTCACAGGTGGACGCGACTAGCGGTACTCGAAATCCACGAAAACATTCGCTCGATTTGCCGTGGAAAATCGTATCGCGTGCAAAATCGAGCACGACACAGGATCGTCGCGCGTTTAATTGACTTTGGCATTATCCGCGCGCTCGATAATTGCAGGATCGTGGTAGAGAGAGAGAGAGAGAGAGAGAGTAACTTTTAAAACGCGTGCATGAAAACATGAAATATCCGACACGTTTAGTTTCGATGGATGTACGTATTTTTTCATTTTCGTAGGCGGTTGTCCATCGTCGATCGTATCGTTGGCCCTCTGGTGGTCGGTCGCGTGGTGTCGCGTACGACTTTTGGGAATACAATTTGGGATAGGCGGTGTGTGGATAAGGTGGCGCGAGACGATGAGTCGAGAGACGTCGGTGCGGTGTGGCGGCGCGTTGCAACAACGGTTGCCGTGTTTGTGGAACAATGTCCCCGCGGTATTACTAGAATAAAAAAAACGGGATAGACGTGTCACCAGACGAGTGTAACGCCTCTCATATTTCCATTAAGTAAGGCAAGACACAGCCGGATAACGGATATAACGGGCGCGAGCTACGGCTTTTACCGTGATTAGTGCACGATGCAATGGGAAGGTTCGTAGGGTATATATGGAGGTGCGTGCGAACGTTCTTGCATATTGCACGCATATAGTATAAACGCGTTTGGAATATTACGCGGCCGCGTACGCACGCTCCTCCTGAAACGCGAAACGCGTCCATGGATTTACGATACGAACGTCTAGTTCGCCCGTATTGGGCTCCTCCCCCGGGAGAAACTTTTGCACCGCCCTGAAATTTTGCTCCTTCTTCTATACGTATCGTGTGCCCGTCCGTTCATCGCCATCAAAACACGCACTTACACACATCGGTTGGATAAATGAGATCCTTCGACGTTGAATCCATTAAGCCGGGAGGATTCGGTTTCGCTCGCGACAAGCATCTTTAATAACGTTCGTGTCTCTGAATGTGAATACGGTCGAGGAGGAGGAGGAGGAGGAGGTATACATATCCACCTTCTTCGCGTTATATTTTCACGCATAAAACCCTTATCGTTTGCTGCGTAAGTACTATTATACGTTTGAAAAATAAGAAGGGGGAAGAGAAGGAGAAAAAAAAGAAGAAAGAAAGAAAGAGGAAACCAGAAATGGGAAAGAAACGATAGGGAGGAAAAAGGAGAAGAAAACGCAACTTCTGAATTTCAGTCAAGGATCGTCGAGACGAGGTTTCGGTGAAACACATTCTATACGCGTGCTCTCTCTCTCTCTCTCTCTCTCTCTCTGTGTCGCGACACGGTCGTGCTCGCATTATACGGTCTGTCGCGACGAGAAATAGCGGAGACACGAAGGTGGCGGGTCTTCTACATTTACTTCTGTTCCGTAGAATCATTACTACGTCCCGAGCTAAGCCAAGCGTACGGGCGCCTGTTGACGGCACCCGTTGATGCGTTAAAGGGGCGAGGAGATAAGTTTTTTTCGCGAATTATGAAGGCGCTCATTCATTACGTGTTCCGTAATTGACGAGTTGTACGGAAGAGGATGGAGCTTGGTATCAACAACGCTCTCTTACCGTCAAGACTCTATCTTACCCGTAGTAACGTTATTTCTTTTTCTTTTTTTCCCCTTTCTTTCTTTTTTTTCTTTTTCTTTTTTTTTCTTCCTTTTTTCTCTCTTTCTTTAAACATCTCCATCACCGATCAAAGAATCTCGCTTACAACGTTCAATGAAAATTCTCCTCGAAACGCGAGCGAGTATATTATTCGAGTTGTGATAACAAAGGTAATTAAATAGGGAGGTCAAAAGTAATATTTGCCGCGGCAAACGTTATCGTGCTCGGAGATTCGATTTCGTAATTCATTAGCATAGAATTTCCGGTGAGCTATGCTTTGTTCACTCGACATTATAATAATTTAACCGAGAGCTATCGAGCTCCCGGGGAGAGGTGGGGATCGCAATTGCCATGGGCTGCAAAATTGGCTTCCACCTGATGCGAAATAGATGCAACTCCGAGCGTACCAAGTCCAATTCGTATCGTTGCAAATGCGGCAATAATTGGATTTCCCTAGGATCATTGTCCAATAGATAGATAGATAGAAAAACCTGTTACGTGAAATTTAATAATCGTTCGTTCGTGAATCGGAAAAAAAAAAAAAAAAAAAATACAAAGCTTTTTGAGAGACGAGAAGAACGAAACCCGACCGCCTTTGCATCAATATACTATTATTATTATTTGGAAAGTTCGGGACGAAACGTCTCGTCCCTTTTTGCTCTTCCTCCCGAACGTTTCGTTCCTCATCTACGAGGCTTTATGCGCTCGTAAAACCACGCCAAGCCTCGTTTCCCGAATTGATTACTCTCAACTCGTACCCCGGCACAACGTTATCCCTTTACCTAACGGGTCACTAATTAAAAGCGAGGGGGGAGGGAAAAAGTCGATCGATCTTCTCACGCGACGATCTTGAAACAGTATATCCGCTTCCTCGATTCCCCCTGTATATACAGAGGAGACGCGTTCGGTGGTTCTTCGCCGTCGATGAAGGGGGGCGGGGAGTGGGGGGCTCCTTACTCGAGCGGACACTTACTCGTTTACTGCAGAGCGTGCGCACACACGCACGCACGCGCACACACACACACACACACACACACTCCCTCGCTCTCTCTCCTTCTTCCTCTTCTTTTTAATCACTCCTGCCCCGACTCTGGCGTATCTGGTTTCACCTCGCCTCTTTCCCTTCGAGCTTTCCCGTTAAACGAGAGCTGACAAAAACACGTGTAACTTTCAATTGGCTGTGCAGCCACTCGTACATTCTCGACGGGCCTTCTTAATTGAGTTAAATAAATTTCGCTCTGTCCACCATATGTGTACCAAAGTAGGATGAGCCCGGCACGGTATTTCGGTGCCCACGCATCGGTGATCGAGAAACGAGTAAGACGAACCCCTGTAACGCTGCTCCTCGTGTTGTTGCAAAGGGTTGTTGGAATTGGGCGAAGGGTGAGAGGTGTGATCCATCGAAACGAATTCGAAGCAAATTTATTTTTGCCTTAAGCCGATGGTGTTCGAGTTCACGGTCGAGCGTGAGGAAAAATCCGCGTCCAGATCCGCCAACGGCTTCGCTCGGCTTTTGATAAATATTTAAAAGGTGGTCGCGTTATTTTCTCGAATTGAATTCGCCACGACGTATTTCGAGAGACGGCGGCGGCCGTTAATGCGGCCGAGGTCTGCGTTAAAGCATCCTCAATATCGGTAAACGGCAACAGGTCGTTACGGTATCCGGATAAAAAAAGAAGTGACGACCCGTAGGGGGTCGGCAGAATTGGAGGCAGAAGCGGAGTCTGTCTAGCTGGCTGGCGGAGTTTTCCGCTCGGAAATATAAAGAGTTGCTGCCGGGTTTTTTTAATGGAATAAAGATCCGGGGAGGAAAGTACCGATTTCTCCCCACCTCGCGGGATCCTCTCTCGCTTGCGAACGAGATATTATTATTATTATTATTATTATTATTATTATTATTACGGGGTCGCGTTAAAAATATTGCGACGTTTTCGTCGTTGGGAAGGAGGGGGACCCGTTTCATTTAGTCGGACGATTCAGACGGAAGATGAGGGATTTGCCCCTTCGACGAACACCAACGTCCCATTCTTTCCATCTTCGCCACCACGGTGGATGCGTGGATCCACGAGGAACGGTACGCGTGAAGAGGGAAAATAAAACGCGCGGTCGTAATATCGCAAAAAGCGAGATAGAATCGCGCGATATCGTTTAACGTAAATATATATTATATACGTATATATATATATATATATATATTTTACGAGAGTAAAACGAGATTGATTTCGGATGGATGGAGTAGGAAGTTTGACATGGTTGGCAACGTAATAAAAGACGGCTCTCGACCACGCGTTTACCGCTTTCGAGGATTTTTCATTGTTTTTTTCCCCCCATGCGCGCCAGGTGGCGACACCTTTTTCCGCCATGAAAAATGTAATCAATTTCAGACACCGGCATCGACAACAATTTTAATCACCGATCCGTTCTATACCGTTTCCGGCGATGTCCACGGGGAACAGCAAGATCTACAGGAAGATCAAGAAGATCAACGAGAAGGACAAACGCATGGCGCAATTGGAGAAAGAGATCGCGAGATTGGAGAACGAGAACTCGAAATTAAAACGCGACAGTATCGGATACGAGAGTCGGTTGGCCGCTTTCAGTGGCGCGACACGCATCGCCAATGAATTTCCTTCGTTAAATCGCAGCCTGCAGCCTGAAACGAGCAAACGCGTTTCTTTGCAAAAGACGGAGAATGAGGATGACGAGGAGGATGCTGTTCAGGCATCGAGATCGAAGAACATATCGGACGAGGGGACGAAGGCCAAGAAGAAAATACGTATGAAATTGTTGAAAAGCTCGAAGAAGAAGGATACCAAGAAATGAGGAAGAATTGTTGTTCTCCGTGGACTCGCATTTCTCTTTACACAAAATTCTACATATAAAGGGGATCAACATGACGTTGACACGATTCGAGAGAGCGACACATCGAATTATCGACAGGGGACATATTCACGCGATGGACTTCAATCTTCGACCGATCAAACTTTGAAATCATGTATCAAATTTAAATCTGAAAATTTTTGTCGATATAGAAACGACGGAAGGCGATGCCAACTCAATTAATACCATGTCCGCAAAAGCAAGTGATTAGAAAGTATATTCGAAATGTACCGTGTCCTCAGAAAAATGGAAAGCGGGTGACGTGCCCAGAAGCTAAAAAATTAGCAAGGCAAGAGATCTCTCCCTCGAAACGATCTCCAGTGAAATATCCGCAAGTGACGGCATGCGTGTCGAAACAATTGTCGAAATGTATTCCGAAAACGTGTCCGGAGAGGGAGCGTAAAATTTCGACTATAGGATGCCCGAAATGCGAGAGCAATCGTATTCAAAAGTTGGAATGCGAAGTGAGATATGATTTTCGCACGTCGATCGACCGTTTGGCTGATTTTTCAGGATTCGTTCGTCGTCGCGTGCAAAAAGAAAAAAAAAAACAAAAAAGGAAAAAAAAATATTCCCTCGCACGGAATATTTCCAGGCACGATTTTCGATCGCGCCCGGTCGAGAATTTTCGGAACGATCAGTCAATCGGTTCGACGCGAACTGGAGATCTCGTATAAAATATCGTATATCGTAGGTGTACCAATTGCGGAAAGAGATCGAATACATGAAGAACGAGCGAAAAGAGGCCGAGAAGGCGATCCAGAAGGCGATTCTTCGGAGCGCGTGCGCTATCGGTGGCTTCAAGCCCATAATACAGGGATCGATCGAGAAACTTTTAGACGTTTGCAACAGGGCTGGATCATCCCAATCTATGTCCTCGATCACTTTCTGCGCTAGCAAATCGCCCACGATCCACACGTGCACCAACAAATCGTCGAGGAGAAGGGATATCAATTATTGCGAAAATTATTAAAAATTATCCTCGTGATCTCGATTTTGCATTCCGTCGAAAAAAATTCCATGTGTACCTTTTAGAATGGTGTAAGCGCCGTCTGCAATAAACACAACCACGATGCGCCGGATTATCGGTTTATTGTAATTAATTACTTTTTCGAGGATTCCGAATCGAAAGTTAGTAACCGCCGAATAAAACGTCGCGATGCCCCCTCCCCCTCAGACGGTTTTTATCGCATATGGTAATAATTTCGCGTTAACGCGTTAATTAATAAACGGGTAAGAGTGCCTAAGAGTCGGGGTGGGCCCGACGCCGATTTAATTACAGGTAACCCAGCGGCAACACACGCGCAACGTATGCGCTTCCGCTCTCCCGTGGACTTGGCGTACGACGCCCATACCTCGCCATCAGAATGGCATCGTTAACATTGATAATCTTCCCTGAACCTACCTAGAGTGGGGGTATCCCGGAGCCACTCGACTTACGGGAAAACTTTCACAGCTGCTACGTGCTTCGATTCGCAAAGTGCGAAAATAATTAACGAACGTGTATATATCAAAGAAACGGGCTTCCCGATGAGAACGGATTCATTTCGAGAATTATTGGAACGAGTCGATCCTCGAGGAAGGCAGGCACAGGATGTCGTAACGGGGCGGCTTCAATTTTAATTTATTATCTTTCGTCTTAATGATAACGACGTTTGTTGCACGCGAAACGGAACAAACGTGGTCGTAAAATCAAGGTAACCAACAAGTTTTGTTGTTTATCGATCCAGCTCCATATTTCTATTTTGTTGATCGCCGATGACGAGTCTTGACGTTCAATACGCAAATGCGATGATGGTTTGCCGGATCATCGTTCGCTCGCTCGATTCCGCTCCTCCTCTTCCCCAACCAACGAACACGCTCGAAAAATATTCGGTCGATAAATGGACCGATGTACCGACCATTATAAAATTTCGACCGAACATGCACACATATATACACATATATGTATACAACGCTTGTGCCCATTGTTTCGACCCTTTGATCGTTTGCGGGGGACAGACTTGTGCTAATCTGTTGCGCGTAAAATTTCCAATCGACGCTTTTCGAGTTTCGAGCAACAAAAACAAAAGCGGAAAAATATTACAAAAGGAGGGAGGAAGGGAGGAGGGATAATTAAAAAAAAAAAAAAGGAAAGAAAGGAAACGAACGAACAAACAAACAAACAAACAAATAAATAAATAAATAAATAAATAAAAAAGCCAAAGGATGTGTTCCGTTAATTCGAGGGAAATGAAAACATTTCATTTCATAGCTCGCGGCAATGTATAAACCATAAAATTGGCTCTCTATTTGAGCAAACAATCGGGAGTACGGTCGATAAGATCCGTTTTGCGTTAGTTGACCAGAACGGGACCGTAAAACCTGTCGTGGCGCGGCCGTGTATAGGGCCGTATTGTAAATTGATAGCGATAAAATCTACTCATCTCTCGGTTTATTCGGAGCCGAGTGTACCGTGGCCGTCTGTGCCGCATTATGCGGCGCGTACCAGCGAAATGGCAAGATTATTTTAAGGCGTATCTCGCTCTTATGCGATTTCCCGTGCCTCCTTCCTTTCGGATTCTTTTGCGGATCTCGTCTCTTCTCTCTCTCTCTCTCTCTCTTTCTCGGGGTTTTTTACGTTTAACCTGGGTATAAGTTAGACCCCCCCCCCTCTCCCTTCGGTGGAACTAAGTATCCCCGGCCAGCTGGAGAAGCAAGCAGGCGGGGGAAGAGAAGAAAAAGAAAAAGAAAAGGAAAAGGAAAAAAGAAAGGAAGAGAACCGTGTCTGCTGATGGTTCCTTTGCGATATCGTTCTTGGCAAATATTAGGTAGTTCCGCCGACTAGAAAACCGTCCAATGTTTTCATTTAATATCCTGTGAATGTCGGGCTGACTCGCGACCGGCATTCAAGGAAAAGATTGCGAGAGCCACTTCCCGTGACTAGTGAGCGATGCCTTCTTTGAGATAAAGTAGCCCGGGGAAAGATTTGTATGAGCCATAGACAAGACTCGCGAGTTAAAGGGGTTGGTATTACGATGTAGCGAATATCCGCTATATATATATCGAGTTGTAAAAGTAATCGGTCCGAACACACTTCGCCTTACGTCTCGAAACAGATAGATAAGGCGAGCTTTAATCGGATCTATAAACTTCGCGAATCAACGAAGAATTTTATCTTGGATTTAACGCAATTGCTCCAGATGCCACAATCTATTTTGCTCCAGACGACTTATTTCTTATCGCCCCGTTATTATTATTATCGTTATTTTGTGGAAAATACGAAATTCGTCGAACGATCAGCCGTATTGTTGCTCGATGCCACAATTTACCTATCTTGCTACCGTTGCTACCTCCACTTTTCGATCGAGAGCAAAGAGAGAGGGACGATTTAACTTGTTATCGTTCCGTTATTATTATTACATCGCGGAAACGAAATTCGTTTCGTCGAACCTATCTCGCTACCGTTGCCTCCGCCACTTTTCGATCGAGAGCAAAGAGAGAGGGATGATTAACTTGTTATCGTTACTATTATTATTATATTGCGGAGACGAAATTCGTTTCGTCGAGAAGAGCGTAAGCGATAACGCTGCATGCGGCGATAAATTAACAACGCGATCGTCAAGATTGATATCGCTAATTGAAGTTTATCGCGACGTACTTATCTACGCGAGAGGGCAACGCAACATAGTTGAAAGCGCGTTGAATGGCAACCAAGAGAAATTGGATGGTATATATATGTATATCGTGTTGGAAAGCGTGTACTAATTCGGATCAAATGCCATGAATTCCAGCCGCGCGTCAAAGGCAGCAACGGTGGAGGCGATATTGCCACCGTGTCGTGATAAACGCGCGATAACCACGCATTAAAGACGGGGAGGCACGCGCGTGGCTTTGTATTAAAAGAAACAGGAAGGATGTTCGATCGGTTTCTCATTAAACGATCAAATAGATTCGACGAGACTCGTTGTGGAACTCGGGGCGGTTGAAACGTGAGCTCGTTGAAATATTCCAGGAATAATAATAATCGTCTAAGGGAAATCACGCGGCGGGGATTTGTAATAATTCCTGTTTTCTCTTTCACGATAAAATTTTACAATCGGCCGACCGTTCCGCTTCAAAGCGGAAAACCTTCCCCTTCCCGACGAAGAGGGTGAGAGGAGAGTCTGTTCATCGATGCTACGAAGAAGGGAGAGTGGAAAGAGCGAGGAGAGATCCGTTAATAGTTCGTTATTAAAATAAAAGAGGCGGACGAGTGGGTGGATCGATCGCGGCTTTGTTAAAATGTATATCCAATCTGACAGGTAAACGGATGTAAACCGTTAATAAAATATGAGACGAGTAATAAGCTCGCTTTTCTCTCTTTTTATTTTCGTATCTCGGTCAAAACTTTCAACCAGCTCTTTCTCAACGATCGAAATTTTATCCCTTGGTAACGTGGTGTACAGATGTGGAGCAAGTCGCGTCGAGTAATCGAGTAATCATCTAATCATAGTTGCTCGAAATTTGCGTTTATTAGAGAAAAAAAGGCGGTAAAAAGGCGTGGCAAAAAAATTCTTACAAGAATGCAACGTCTTGGATATCCAACGCCTGTTGGATGAGCGCCAGACGTTACACTTGCATTTGGATACATAGCGAGTTAACGTTTAGCTGCGAGTTAATTAACCGATTGCTCGTTTTATTCGCCTCTTCCAATTTAATTACAACTTGCCATTAACGCTGATCTCGCGAAAGAGTGAAACCTTTCTTGAAAAACGAATTAAAACATCGTACAGTTATTATCGATTAACCGATTCAATTTTCTTCTAATTAGCAACAAATGGTTAATTTGTCCGAGACCACACGTATAAGAAAATTGGGTTCCATTTTTAAGATCGGAACGAAACGAGACGAAATATCGTAGAGTTTCGTGTCGCGTCGTACACGTGTCAACGAGTTGAAAATTTAAGCGATAATTATTTCAAGCGGAGAGGAGGTGTCTCACCTGTCGCGAATCTCATTGTCACCTCGCTCGTATTTCCCTCACGCGAGCAATACGAATCGTCGAGCACGTGGCCAGCGGTAGATTATCGTCGGTGGGTACAGCAATTCTTGCGTCCAGACGCAAGTGTAATATTTCAACGCCGCCTTGACAATATTTTTCACCGTTCTGAGTAGTGGCGCGTATATATCACCAGAGAGTGGGAAATATCAGCAGATGACTGTAGCTCTCCACTCTGCCGTTCTGATTGTTGCAAGATCGTGATAGCGTCACGGTCCGTCAACTTCTTTTTCCCGCTGAAGCGACTTCAACGTTAACCTCTGCTTTTTGTTCTCTAAGGCGGGGGAAAAATCTCGACCGTTATCGTACAGATGTTGCACACGTTCCACGTGTTAAGTATTCTTAAATTCATTCATCATCCGATTCCAGAGAAGCTACATTGTCACGATGAACGGTACTCTGCAAGAGTCGCCATGTACGAGGAAACGCAAGGATGAGAAGGTAGATACTCGTGGATAGATATGCGGCAAACTTGTTAAACGAGTGATCATAGGAAAATATAATCACAGGAGTAGAGATGAGGAGGATGATGGAAGGCATGCGACTCGTAGTTCGTAACTCGTAGTTCTCGATTGTGCGAGGAGGGGGCTCTCTTTAGGTTTAGGTCGAAAAAGAAAAAAAAAAAAGAAAAGAAACGGAAAAAAAGAAAAAGAGGAACGACGACCCTTGCAAGAACAGAAAAGCCATCAGCGCTGATAAATAAAATGTTAGCGCTACACCGTCGCACCGACTGTCTGCTCCGGCGCGTATTCTTATTAAACGCGGCCATGTACGTGCATATACGTACACTTGAACCCCGTGCTTTTTGCCTGGGGTGCGTTAGGGGGTGCGTGGACGATGTGGATCGGTGAAGCACGCACACGTATAGATCCCAGCCTCTCTCTCTCTCTTTCTCTTGTTTGCTGTTGGCTGCTGCTACCGCTACCGGTGCCGCTACCGGTGAAACGCGTGCACTCCAACCAACAAAAGCGACCTGTACCACCCTTGCCCCTTTTCACCCCCATCAGTCAGCTTTGCGCTTTGCTCTTACGTAATGCTCCGACTTATGTCTACCTATACCGGATTGATCGAGCTCGCGCGACCTCTATAATCCTGCCTAATGTCGAGCAAATTAGCGAAACCGACCGATCATTTCTTTTCGTTTGATTTGTAGTTTTTCATCTCGTCGACGATAAATTCAAAGAGTCGACACCACGGCTTTAAATCGTTCGAAACTTTAAACTTGTAAGATGAAAAAGAAAAGAGCGTTACGATTCGACGGGGAAAGAATCTTGTCAGGTTTTTTTCCTCGTCTACGATTTCACAATGGCGAAGACACGTTCTTTTCGTCTCTTCGTTTGAAAGGTGTCCACGGCGACATCCTTTTTTTTCTCTCTCTCTCTTTTCTTATTTTTTTTTTTTTCTAAATGTCGCTACGGTAAACAACACAGAAGGCTTTCTTCTTTTTCAAGGAATGGCAGCGACGACGACGACGCATCGTTTGCATCTTCAATAATCCGACGAGTGGGCTGGTGGAAACAGCTGGAAGAACAGCAATGGCCAACCGCAACACAGTCCCGCTCGCACATTTTCTGCGTCGTTGTAGAGGGAGGCGAGACAAAAACTTGAATCCGGTGGATTTTTCTTTTCTACGCGTCACCACCCCTTAAATAAACGTTTACTGGGGCAAAGTGAGCCACCATCCGTAATTATTGTCCCGGATTGGAGAGGGGTCGACGCGCGTAATATTCGCGTCGCGTAAATTCGCCCGGGTTTATAACGGCGGAATGGAAATTATCGTCATTAATGACAGGCTGGAAGTGCGCGCAGCGCACGGTATTCGTTTCGACCCGTAGCCTCCTCTTGACTTCTTGACGACGTGCGCGTAAAAGTACCAAGAAATCAGTGACATGGCGGAGCGGCTTTCGCGTTTATTATGTGGAATGCAGGAAGGACGAAGTGGTGGTATATAATTTTTACTCGAAAGGGGGAACTCGACTCGATCCCGGATGATTCAATTCCTTCCCTTTTCACCCACCACCCTTTTTTTTTTTTTTTTAAGAGAGCACGAGTTTTTAATTTCATCGCTTAAAAAACTTGCTGAAATTTTACCACGAAATTTTTAAGATACTACCACTTCTCGAAACTTTCGAAACGCGAGAGATTGAAAAAGAAAGATCAAGACGGTATTTTTCTTTTTCTCTTTTTTCTTTTTTTTAACTTACCTCGCTGTTAACGAAACAATTTTATCTTCGGACACGGTCACGACGAGTTTCATACATGACTCTCATGGCGCGGCGAAGCAACGGGATGACAACTGGACAATCTCCGTAACGAAACTCGTTTAAACGTGCCGTGACTGGATGCACGAACGCGTGAATGCATCGTGTGCATAAACCTTATGTATCACCGAGGTGGAACGTTTGAATCAGAAGGAGAAGGCGAGGGATCGGAGAATCGGTTCGTGGTTGGCTAACGTGCAGGGGACGTTTAAACGAGCTTTAACAAGAAGAAAAGGAGGAGGGGAAAAAAAAAAAAAAGAAAAAGAAAGGTTCGTAACAAAGAATTTTTTCGCCAATACGATTTCGTGCGGTCGAGGAAAGTTCGGTCGGTAAGGTTTTTTAGTTAGTTCCGTGGCCCTCGATTTTAATTGATTCGGGCCCTCGAGCATTAACCAAGTCCACTTGATTTACACGCCAGCTGCGTGTAGGATCGTTGCTGATACGTACAAGTAGTACAAGGGAATTGCAAGTGTTGGCGCCGGCGTTTCCAATCTCGTATCCTAGCCGTGCCGTGCTATTCCAAACCAATATTTTTTACTCTTACTCGCCAGGGAAAAAGCGACGCGATACTTGGCGTCGCCGACCGTAAACACGAGAAAATTATCGTAAACTCGGCTAAGAGGTGGCGGCGGCAATGTAATGCCTGCTTTCTCTGTTGTTTATGCCTTCTTCTTCTTCTTCTACCCGGTGCAAATGGGGGGGAAAAAAGCACGGTTAACGGAAAATAACGAACGTCGCCCGTTCGTTAGTCACGAAGTTAGGTATAAATTTTTTGAACTCGACTTTCGGCGTTGCATTCCTTTCGTTGATAAATTATTTGCGACGGTCGAAAAAAGATTGGTGTGTACCGTTCGATATCCGAGGAATTATATTAGGGGTGTGGGTCGATCGAAAAATCGATCGTGTGGGCGTAGAAGACGAGATTGAAGAAGAGAGCAGAGGTACAATTGATCGTACCTTGTTGTACGTACGTACGACAATGTTGCACGCATCGGGCCTTATGCAAGAGAGAAACAAAGGGGAAGAGAGAGAAAGAGAGAGAAAGAGAGAGACGGTGAAACAATGGAGAGGCCGGGGGTAGAATCGTAGAAAGCAAAATAAAGGTGCCAGGTAATGTGATATATGGGATCGATTTGAATCCAACGTTTAAGCCGCGAGCTATAATTCAATCTCAATCGTTTTCTTTTCCGTTCCTTCGTTTATGCGCTCTTTCTACCCGTGCTCGCCTTCTCCTTCTCGCCCCTGCGGTATCCCCCCAAGGGCACGCTCGATACTCGATATATACTTAGGCACATCCGAGCTACTCTCGTACTACCTGGTCGTGCATCTTATAATATATACGCGAATCGTTGACTCCTTAAAGTCTCGTTCACACCGTGTCTTCGATGATGGAGATATATTGGGCCACACTTTTCCTCCTACGCAACAGCCCGCGCTATCTTTACATCGATCCGGCTGTTCTTCACGCTCCGATATATATTATCGCGTGTAACGAGTTATTGAATCGAATCGGATATCCCGTTGAAATTGAATGGAATGAAACTTTATATTATCCACGGAGGAAACGAACCACGATTGACGTCGATTTCGAACGCCATGAAAATTAATTTAAAATTCACAGAAGGGATAGCGATAAGATGCACGTTTCGAGAGGCGTTACACGCTCGGTCTCCAACGCTCGAGACTCATGCTATCACACATGCATTCGCTTTTATGTAGAAACGTGCGTGTAAGAACGCGTGTCGAGTTGTCTCGGTCGGGGCATACAAGAGACGAAGAGCCGACGACATTGAGAGGGACTCGAAGGGTAGTCCGTCAGAGTTTCGAAATAAGGTAATTAATATTAATGTAGATGGGCACGTTGATGAACCGTGAAATTCGGACAGATTCGTTCCATTTCGGTTGATTAAAAATTCCTTCCCTCCTTAAATTTATACACCTCCGTGCGAATTCTCGATACGTCTTTTCCAACAATATGCATTCCAACGATGCGTATTACATTAAGGTCAGCACACGAGTCGAATAACTGGTTTCTTTTCTTTCTGTATTATACGCTTTATCGAGTTATATTTATTATAATCCATCCAGCCATTTTTCCACATATACGAGAAAAACGTTCGATTCCGTTGTATCGTAATTCAAATGTTTCCCGCTTAAAATACAATACTCCCTTCTTCTAGTTGCCTCGTACAATATTCCGATTTCCGCTTAAAGTCCCACGGACGGTTTCTTAATAAGCGAAAAAAGTTACGATCAAGATGCTTGGGCGATCGCGAGATTCACCACGGCAGAAAACTCGAAATGTCCCGTGCAATTGCAGCCCATGTAACAGCCAGGTAATCAAGCCAATAATAAACGATGCAAAAGAACGAAATCTCTCTCTCCTTCTGTTTATAGGAATATCATCGTATCCAAGGACAATGTCCAGGTACGTACTGATTCTCCGTACGCTATTTACGTTGACCGGAGAAGGGATTGACTCTCGGTAGTGGTACAGGGGATTTCGAGATTGGGAGAAAGAGAAAAAGGACGAGCCAGCGAGAGGAAGGGAGAAAGCGAAAGCTGTAACGGCGCGGGGGAGGGAGCGGAGCGGAGGGGAAGAGAGAGAGAGAGAGAAGAGAGAGAGAAAGAGGGACATGGGGTCCCGTATACGCTCGTTTCTGCAGAAGAAGACGGAGAGGAGAGGGTGGGGGGTATTGGTACGGGAACCGCGCGGGCAGTGCACGCGCAGCCGCCGGGACGCGCGCATCCCGTGTGCATTCGCGCTCTTCCAACATCGAAGGAGGAGCCCGCGAAATCTCGATTAACGCGGCACTGTGCAACGTGCCTCGCGACCGTGGTGATCACCGTGATACAATATACCATTGTCGTGAGTTATATTTTCTTACTTCATCCATAGTATAGTTTTTAATTCGCCATAATGACGAGACGAACGGTCTGCGACAACGTTCTGCGCAACGACGTGAAGTTAACAGCGGTGTTCGAGACCGGCCGGTACTCGATAGATTTCTCGAAAGTCGATCGCGATAATCGCAATGGAAATTGTTGCGTAACCGTAGTTTAATGTCGTTTAATCACGCGAATTCGTAGAATCTTCGAAGTTAGATAATTCTCGGTATCCGTAATATTATGTCGCAATTGATTTTCGTTCGCTGCGAAAGGTAAACAAAAGCGGTAAACGCTCGGTGCCGGTACATTCTTTCGAAGGACATAACGTTCAGTGTGTATCGTGGCTTCGATGGATTCGGTCGTGTACGAAGCGAAGTGGCGCGTATCGTTCTGAAAATAATCGAATCGTGATTTCGTCGTGAATTTTTTCTTTACCATGTGTTTTTTATTGCGCGTTACATCGAGTTGAGAGAAAGAGAAAGAGGTTATTATTTGTTATTTCAAGCGTGGATAATCGTGGCGAGTGAATAATACGCGAGTGTTACGAAGTATTTTCGTCAAAGTATTCATAGTCGTAATAAACGAATTGTCGTTTTCGCGTCGAAAAGGTGATTATTCTTTGTTTCTTTTTTCGGCCGTGAAGAATTTTGGGGAATTAACGATCGCGAATTCGAGAATGCGCTAGTGGAACCGGTTATATCGTGGGAACCGTGGCAAAGGGCAGGTCCCGATAGAAGGAAGGAATCGAAATATTTCGAAACGTTCGTGTCGAGGATCGCTGGTCGTTTTCGCGCGGCGATGACGCGGAAGGGGGCGCAACAGGAATTTGACGGTTGTGTATGAAGTGTGACGGTAAAGTGCAATCGAACAGGTGCATCGAAACGAAGCTCAGCGGACAACGATGAATCATTGGAGGGTGACATTTCTTCGCGCTGAGTAACTGCATCGCTCGTCTACGATCGGTGAGTCTTTAATTTTAAATTTTAATTTAATTTTATTATCGATAATTTAGTGCTAGTTTATATTGCGTATTCGCACTCGTACCACGTTTCGTTGCTAAACAATGTCGTTATTTCGATAGTTAGCCATTAGTCGTAAAAAAATTTGTTTATTACGTTTCGTTTCGCGAAAATTTTCCATTTGAAACTATTATTATTATTATTATTATTATAGAATATTTACATAAATTTTTATCTACAAAGAAAGACATAGATATTCGCGATTATGTTAACTTTTATACGCTTCGCGTATAAAGATTTCCAAGAATATAATCGCGCGTAATTATCGTTGTATACACATATATATATATATATATATATATAAATTTTGTAATCGTGTTTGACTAATCGTACGTAGCAAAGTATATTATTATAAGGGATCGTTACGAAACTTATCTCCGTGTTTGGAATCGCATCCACTCGTCAAAAAGTATCGCGGATGAACATCCGTTGCCTCGTCGTCCTCTTACACGTCGTAGTCGTCGGTATCTTCACACTTGCCTTTCTTCTTTCACCACTTCTCTCCGCCCCCTCTCTCCCTTCTCCTCTCCCTCGCTTCTCTTCCTCGCCTCTGTCACTGCCGCCTACCGATCCATTCGTTGTTTTTTCTTCTGAGAAGGGACTCGCCGAGTAGCGAGAATTAATGTCGAGTGCACAAGGGATTTCGAATCAGTAGCTATTTCCGCTATTGTCGCGATGGAGCGGGTGCGCGTGTGTGCGCGCTCGTTCCGACACCCCCCCCCTCCCCCCCTCGCCGTTTCCTTCGCGTTGCTTTACTACACACGTCTCGAACGCGATTTTTACGTCGAGATACACGGGGAACAATAACGATGGGGTGGTTAATATCCAAGGATGTAATTATTCGACGATAGAGGCTAATAGAGCGTACACCGGTGGGAACCACAAAGAAATAAAAACACGGGGGGAGGGGAAAATCCGGTGAAGGAAGGAAGGAAGAGGATTCGTCTCTTCCCCTATGGGGGAAGATTTTCTGCTCTAATATATCGTCTCCTGGTAGAATCTCCTCCTGTTTTTCGTAGTCTTCGCGTTGGTCGAGAGTAAGGGTTCGCAAATGCGGAGAATACTTGTATCCCGATGCGAAACGATCAGTTTGAATCCCCGGTTCGAGAGATAAGTGCATAAGAGACGAGATGAGAGGGGAAAAATTCTCAGTCCTTTGCGTTCTCGCTGCGAAAATCGAATCGAAAATCGAAATTCTTCCAGATAACACCGTGGAAATCGCGTGACGGGATAACAAACGTGAATTCGTGAATAGCGGGAATGCGATCGATCGCATGAATATATAAGCCGTTTAGACGGTCGATGCGTGACCGTTTAACCGAACGCGCGGGGAGGGGGCTCCATAGTTGCCTTTTCGCCCCCCGATTCTGAACTCTGTCGCGTTCATAAAACAATATTGGCTCGGTTACGTCAATGGCAGCAATGTTTATAACTAATTACCGATATCAGGGAAACGCGAGCGTGTTGAACGAAGACGGGGGGCGTTCGTTTGAATAACATTTGGGACGGAACGGAACGGAAGGGAGGAGAGGGAGAGATGTAGCGAGAGACGGTGAATTAGATGACGAGGGGGGTGGTAAAGGGGAGTTTCATTTTGAACGAGGAGGCATTCTCTGCGTTCGTCCGAGCTCGATCTAAACGGGCAATATTAGCTATTGACTTTGGCTCATGGGGTTTGTCGATGGTCGGCTAAGTGATGGCGTTGGTTCCGACCGGTTCGGTACAGGGAAAATTTCGATCCCCTCGTCTCCTCTTCGCGATTGATCGTTACAAGAGAGGACAAATTTTCACGGTAAATAAAAATTCGGACGGAATGGAATATTGGACGAGAATAAAGATCTCATTTCGATGATTTCTCGATGATTCTTCCTTTCCCCGTGACCTTCATTTCTTCTTTTGCCTTCTTTTGCCGATAAAAAATTTAGAGAATTTCTCTTTCCTCGAACGAGCATTAGTTAAATGCTCTCGTGCCCGAAGCGCAAGATGTTTCTCACTGGAATCCGACAAACGCGCACAGTTTCTCGCTCTTCCCGTGCTACTTTTCCCTCCCCTCGTTATTCGATTTGGTTTAGCGTTACGACTGTCGCTACAGCTGTCGACCTGTCTAGGGTTCACGATCCGTGTGTTGCACGCCGATGTTCGTGACCTATCCACAAAGCTTTCCGTTGGGGTTCACGGACGCTCGTAAAACTTGACTCGTGGTGTACGCGTACGCGTTTTCATGTTCTTGCTCGTAGCAGTTTGTCTCTTTCGAACGGTATAAATGCAAGTTTCTTTCCGAACCGACTTTTGTCCCGGACTTTCGTATTCATCTCGTATGCCTAGCTCCCCCTAAAGGGGGGGGATAACTTTGTACCACTGGAGAAAAGATCTCGCGATAAAATCTCGCCTGTCCTCTTTTATTTATTTATTCGAGGAGGGTCGTCGAGTATAAAATCGATGACGTTTAAAACGTTGATTCGAAATATAGAGGAGAGAGAGAGAGAGAGAGAGGAGGTATTC